CCTGAGCTCCTGGTTCATAGGTTGATGCCCAACCACTGAGCCCCGCCGGCCGGGAGGTGAGTATTCCTAAAGGCTAGCACCCTACGGAGGAGTGACGCAGGTGAAGAAGCCAGGACGTCATGGTTCTGCACACGGCGCTGCCCGGTGCACAGCTGCAGATGAGAGGGGACGGAGGGCTGAGGAGAGCGGTGTCTGACCCCACAGGGCCCTTTGGTGTTGGTTCTCACCTCTGTTCTAGGGATTTTACATGATATGAGTGAATGTGTCCCGACCAAACATGCACAGAGCGGGACTAGATTAGAACAAACGTTTCTCTCCTTTCTCCTTGCTGGCCTCTCAGGAGCGAGCCTGTGACTTGGACCTGCTGCTTCCTGGGCCAGTCTCCCAAGCTGCCCCGAGTCCGGGAGCACATGTTCACACGGGCTCAGCGACCCTACCTCTCGGGGTTGCGCTGAGGCTCCCGGTTCGCAGCCACGCTGATAAGCTCCTGCGCTGACGGAAGGGGGCAAGGTCCCAGCTGAGATCCGAATCGGCTCGGGACCTATTTGGGGTTAAGGACGCCTTCCCGGTCCCTTACCTCCCACCAGAGAGGACAGCTCTGACAGGAGCCTGGCGATGGCTTACCTCGGCGGCGTACCTCACGCCGTCCACCACGTGCTCAGAGCCGTGGTCGTCCGTGGACCCCCAGTGCAGGTGAAACTGTCGCAACCTGTATCTTCCAGTGAGCGGGCCCCCTCGCAGAACTAAAGGGCAACACAGGTGACACTGTTAGCAAGAAGGGTGTTACCGAGCGCCCCCCACAGCGTCTCCTCACACCCGCGTCTCGAGGAAGGTTCTACCCAGGCGCCTGGCGTTCGCAGGCCAGGATCCAGCTTCCAGGTGGGCGAGGAGTGAACACAAACCTTTGAAGGGTGAGCGCGTCCACAGGACAGCTGTGTGCGGAGCACGGGAAGCCCAGCAGGCACTCTGGTTCAGCGCAGGGAGCCTACAGGGCTGCCCCGTCCCCGGAGGCCGCCGGGCCCAGGAGCGCAGCAGGTGGCGCAGGAGAGCTTTCAGCACTTGAAGGCCTGGGCTCGCCTTGGCTTCACCAGCGTGGCCTTGCACAAACTCTCTGGCCTTGAGCTCCAGCTGTCAGGCCATGACCCCGGCGAGCAACACCACCTCCCCCCAGTGTCGTGGGGAAGGAGAAAAACTGAGCACACAGCCCTCGCCCCTGCCCTGAACACAGCCAGCTGGACCTGCGAGCTATGATGACTACGATACCGCTGCTGCTCCCACAAATGCGGGCAGAGTGAGCTCACCTTCTCAGGGAAGTAGGAAACACGGGACACCATTAACTCTTTTTAAAAATCTATCAGATGTTGCCACTTGAGCAAAGTGTATTTTTAGCACTTTTCCTCCACAAATATGCTCCCTAAGACCATGGCCATAGAGCTCAGCCAGTAGGGCTCAGTGGCTGAGTGTCGACCTGTGAACCAAGAGGTCTTGGTTCAATTCCTAGTCGGGGCCCATGTGTGCACTAGATCCCCAGTGCGGGGCATGCAGGAGGCAGCTGATCGATGATTCTCTCTCATCACTGATGTTTCTCTCTCTCTCCCTCTCCTTTCCTCTCTTGGATCAATAAAAATATATTTTAAAAAATAGAAGTATGGCAATGGAGTCATATCTTAAGAAGACAGAAAAGCGTCTTACTAGAAACCATAGTCCTAAAGTGTGTCCCTGCAATTAATCTCTGCTGGGCAGACCCCGGGGGCCCGGAGGCCCTGGTGGCTGAGCTCAGCACACCCACCTACAGGGCTCATCGCCATCACCCAACAGCAGGAAGTGCCGACGGGCCAGTGCAGCCTCAACAATAGCTTGACTTCAATGGCCCTGCTCTTTAGTTATGATACATACACATAATTATATGCAGTTACAAAATTTGTCAAGAATGACCCACCTTATATAAAAAGGAAAGATGTTAAGAATTTCATATGCAGTTTTCTGTAAACAGCAAGAAACGAAAGGACAAGGTAACGCTTGCCTGTGCCCTCGGGGCTGCACTGCAGGAGGCCAGGCCGCTGTGGGGACCAGCACCGGGGGGTGCCCTTCTCCCCAGCCTGGCGCTGGACGGTGGCTCAGAGCTGGGCAGGGGTCCGATCAGCAGCCGGGCACAGTCCCCGCTCAGCAAGGACACCTCCTCCCACACGCACCCACGCCTCTGTGGGGGTCCGCTCTCTTGTCCGCACTTGTGTTCGTTTCCCTGTTCCTAACTAGGGGATTGGACTGATGTCCCTTCACATCTGCCTGCCCGAGGAGAAACTGGGAGCACATGCAATCGAGTCTTGGGAAGGCTGGATGGTCGGGCACCCTCTAGGCTCCGTCAGACCCAGACTGCTCTGTGGTAGGTAGCTGCCTATCTTCAGAGCCCTCTGGGAGAGAAGGGGGAGGGGAGCACCCCACGGCAGGCTGCAAGGCCCCTCTCGGTCACTGTCCGCGACAGCGTGGTGCCACTGCTTCCGCTTGCCCTGGACACGCTCCGGCAGACCCTGCTGGCGTCCCTACGGCACCGCCCCTCCCGCGACTGTCCCCGAGGAGATCCTTGATGGAGAGGATCTTAGGTTTGGCTTTAAACAGCCTCCAAGATGTTTCACAGATAAATGAGCTGAATAGGCACGTGCCCTCCCTGGGTGGCGGCCTGCTTCCGGATGCCACGGCCTCTGAGGGCAACCAGCGCTGGCGTCCTGTCTTTCCTGTTCTGTTGCACAAACCGAGCCAAGCCAGGGCACCCTTCACAGCGCCACGCAGAGGGAGGGCTCAGGACTCACCTCTTATTCGAGAACTGAACGCACTTTGGGAGGAGGCACAGACCAGCTGGCCCAGGAGAAAGACGGAGACCCCAAAAGGCCCAGGAATCCTGGCTGGTCTCTGGGAGCCGCTCCCAACCCAGGCTTCACTCAGATCAGCGCAGCCCCGCCTGGGGGAGCAGCGACGCTGGCCTCTCTCTGCCTCGCTGGGCTCCACACTGGAGAGTCTGTACTGAAATGTCCCACGTGCGACCCGGACCACGGGTGGCTCCTGTGATGACCACCCAGGGCTCTGCACAGGGTGGGGAAAGTGAGTCAAAAGGTCACAGTGAGCCTCGCGCTGCCTTCGAGAGGTCTCTATAGAACAGTGAAACTGTGGGATACGATGAAGAATGGTGGCAAAGTTATTTTTAATGAGAATGATTTAGTGTTTTCAAGCGTCGAATTATTCATCTCACTTTCCAGCCTAGGTGAGTAAATACATATTATTGTCTCCACCTTAACTCTGAAAATAAGTGATCATTTCTCCAAAATCATACTTGGCATACATATAGAGCCCGTTTATCACTTCACCCTGAATTTTAAAAAATCTCTTCAAATGATGCGCTCACATAAGAGGTCTACAGAGGGTAAGAAGCCAGAGGTGAGTGCCTAGAGTGTGGGGAATGTGTGCCACCTCAGCAAGAGGGCCTCTATTAGCTGCTCTCTGCCCTGAAGTTCAACCACGTTGTGAAACTAGAAACAGGTGTTGCTGCACTGCATCTGCCTTGAGCCTTGTCAGTAACGTGCCCGTCCTGCTCCGTTTCCGCAACTGCACTGGCGTCGGCTGCCTGGACAGTAAGCATGGCTGGGAGCACAACCAGGAAAAGGCTCTTCAGACAGCTCCTGTCTACCCAGCTGCAAGCAAGCTCCTCTAAGAGGACCGCCTCGCTCCTGTGTGTCCTCAGGACCAGGGCAGTGCCTGAGCAATGACTGCTCAGAAGCAAGTGCACGGCGGCTGCGGTGTGACCTGGCGTCATCACAGCGCGATTCCAGGGCCGGCGAGTGGCACGGGAGGTCCTATCTAGTCACTTCTTATTCTGGAACGAGGACTGTAACCTCAGTTTCCTTTAATATTTGAGATATTATAACCAGTTTCCAACCGCAATCATGGGTGGTGTCAGCTTTGTGTTTGGAAGCCTCAGATTTCTCCGTGACCACATCTGTGCCCATTACGTCACCCTCCCCTTTACCTCAGCCCCCCGCCCTCACAGAGCTGAGGCGTGAAGAAAACACATATATGAACAGCAAGGTCCCTCCTTCCCCACAAGTTGAAAACACCACGTGTTAATCTCTCTTTGTGCACTTTTTACAATGCTCTGAATAAATAATATGAATCACTTCTATGAATTTGACAAGTATGAGGAAGTAATTTTACGGGCTTATGATTTTAATGAACAATATAGCTTTACATAAGCACCGGGAACTATGACTAAACCAAAGCTGTGCTTAATGGGTGAAAGCTTTCTTCCAATGAAGGGTTTTTAACATTTAACTATCCTTATCATTAATAGAGAAAAAGTAAAAGTAATTTGTCAGCAGCCTTAAAATATGAGTCTCCTAATCTTCTCTGTCATCTAACTTCTAACCTTGATACTAATCTGCTTCTTGGGCTTGAAGGCGAAGGAAATGCTTGTTTCTATTCATTTAGCTAGTGTGTCACATAGAAATGATACGAGTTTCATTGGGTTGGCCATTCTTTATTGATAGTGTGGAAGACACTGTCCCTGAACTAATCAAACACAACTTTTATGACAGGTCCCAGCAAAGTACTAACAGGGACATCCAACGGGTAGGTGTTTCAAATAAGAAAGAAAAGAAGGCGCCGTCCAATTGTCCGAGCCCCTCACTCCCTCCCCCACCAAAAAAAGCCCACCTGATTTGTCCTCCGAGTCATCAAAGTCAACGTTGAAGGAATGGCCACTGTTACTGATGATTTTGGCAGAGCTCGAGTCATACTTGATGCTAAGAGGTCGGAGGGAAGAGTCGAACTTCGCTTCCTTGGTTTTAATCTCAATGGGGGACTGCTGGTCCCCATCAGCGATGGGGAAGAGTTGGTTCCAGTGAATGGGACCTGGATAGAGTGCACAGGACCAAAGAGAAGGACTAAGCAAGGGGTGTCATTCAACCAGTCCTCCTTGAGTGCCACACACTGTGCTTGAGCCTGAAGAGAGAGCGGGGATTAATAAAAGGTCTTCATCCTCGGGACCTTCACACTCCACTGTGTGCTGCTGTTTTTACAAGACCGGTTGCTCTTATGAGAGGTATGGAAACTTCCTGGCTTGCGGTCACTCATTTTCAGAATTAAACAAACCCTTGTAGACAAACGAGCACATATGTTTTATAAGGTACTTTCCAAAGGCACTTTTCTGCCAAGCGCAGAACAACAGCACAATTCATCACGGAGAACAAGGGATTCCGTCCCAGCTCCCGGAGTGAGCGCGGGGGGCTGCAGGGCTCAGGAGTCCTCGCTGGAAGAACGACAGCTGAGTGAGCCTGCGGTGGCCTGCGTGTGAGCCCGTAATCCACACCCCCTCTCACGGGATAATGCACGCGCAGTGGCCGCACCCTGCCGGGAAATGGGATGTGGATCCCCTGCAGTGACCTCAGGGAGCAATCTGTCCCTCCTTTCTCCGCCTCAGGAGGCCCTCTGTTTTTGGCCAATGCTACATTTGAATTCCAAAGGCAGCACAATGCTCACCCTGACCCGCTACTCAGCATCCAGCGCCCAAGTGAGACACATTCAGTAAATGATGTGAGCCCACAGCCGGCAGTGCCCTCGGGGGTGAGGGGGTGGGGGCTCGGCCTTGCTCTGGAGACTGGATTCGAGTTCTGCTTCTCAAAACCAACAGTAGTGGCGGCTCCACGTAGGCAGCGCATCCGCAGACAGGGACAGTGGTGGTCCCTCCGTCTCCTCCACTGCTCCTGCCGCCAAGCAGCTGCCACAGCCGGAGAGCTCTGCCCTCCCGCACCACCCCGCGGGCCTGGCCGCTCCAGAACCCAGGTGCTTACTGCACAGATGGCGCAGCGTGACCATGAACCACGTTGGTACTAGCAACACGAGCGTCTTTAAAGATCGGATTTGGAATATAACTTCAAGAAATGCAGAAATGCCACGGTGGGCCACAGCTCCCATCTCTAAATCTCATTCCCCCATGACTCCTCCTTTTGTCAAAAAAGAATGAATAATATTTTCCCTCTCTAAGCTTCAGGGAGGAACGTCACCACAGGAACGTGCACCACACACAATACACACAACTCCGCAGCTGTTGCCTGGAGCCTGATGCTTTGGACTTGAAGGCCCTTGAGCACGCAAGTCCTTGCCTTCAGCTTTTACAGAAAAGGAGCCAGTCCTTGTTGACTAGGCCAGCACTCACCTTGCTGCACTCACTAGCCTGTGTTCTCTCTCTCTCTCTCTCTCTCTCTCTCTCTCTCTCTCTCTCTCTCTCCATAAGCTTCAGTCTCCTCCCTCCCCCCGCCTCCCTAAACTTAGCTTCATTGGTGCAGGCAGACTCTCCTTCGGGTGGGGGATGGCCCTGCCTTTTCCCCAGGAGACGCCTCAAAGGGGTGGCAGAAAGGGTGTAGCTGTGGCCTCAGCCCCTGGACGTAGTTTGGGGTGAGAAGCAGGGGAAGTTCACACCATCTTGGAATCAAGTCTTTCGGTCTCCTGACATTTTAAGTTGGATGCTCTCTCTCTCTCTCTCTCTCTCCCGCCCCCCACCCCTTGACAGCCACCAGGCATGACTACCTAAAGCACATTAGACTTCAGATCTGCTGACTCTTTCATCAGGAGTGTCCTCCTAACCACTCCCTCCGATTTCCAGTCTTTATAACAGAACCATTTTGAAATACTCAATGTTAGATATTAACTACTAGGGTAGTTTCATTCCCTGCCTCTTAAGAGGACCCCCCTTGTAAAAATAGTCCAAACCTCCAGCGTTAACCCCATTTGAACATGGCGTTTCAGGAGAGGTGTGCGGTGTTTCTTCCACTGGCTCAGGAACTTGGGAACGTCATGGTGACGCATAGTTTGCAGTGACGGCCACTTTCTAAACGAAGCCAATAGCACCGCGGAAGGTGCGTGGAGGAGTCCTACTCTGTCTGTGCAGGTGCCCCCGCCAAGGGCGCTGCCAGCTGCTCACCCACAGTCCAGCCAGAACCATTAGCCCTGCCAGCGGATGCATCGTTCCCGTGGGGCTTGGCCACAGGCGACCTACCTTAAGGTGTCCCCTCATCGCTATTGCTTCTAAAGCGGGAACCCCCGCCCCATTCTTAGAAAGCTAAGGAATCAGTCCTTGCTAACAGCTCTCCTAAGAAGACTCTAAAAATGTCTGCAGACAACTGCGGCTGAAATAGCTCAGTTGGGAGAGCGTTAGTCTGAAAAATGTCCGCAGACAGCTTCAATGCTTCCTAGCATATTACAGAGTCAACACTACTCACTGATCAAAAGCACCCTTCTTCCTAACCCAGTGGTTCCCAACCTTGGCTGCACATTAGAATCACCTGGGAATCTTTTTAAAATCCTGATTTCTGGGCCCCACATTCTGGAAATTCTGTTTCTTTGTTATGGGGTGGGGCCACAACATTAGTAACAAAGAAATAGAATTTCTGGAGGATGAGGCCCAGAAATCAGGATTTTAAAAAGATTCCCAGGTGATTCTAATGTGCAGCCAAGGTTGAGAACCACTGTCCTAACCAGTTAGGGCCCTACTGGCCTGCAGTAACTATTAACTAACAATGCTAAGGATCATTCCAGCAGAGAGGGAAATTAAAGAAAATTGATTTTGTGCCCCCCAAACATAAATTGGAAATTAGCAAAACGTAAGATTATAGCCTCCATCAGAAAGAAATCCATCAAAGTTATTTTTCATTTTTAAATTTTATTTGCTACCATTTTTATTGGCAAATTAATTTTAATGTCAAAAGGCTACAGTTAAAAGCGAAACTTTTCCATTTCTTTGTCAAAGTAAAGTTTCTATAAAAATCAACTACACAGTACTATTCAATAATATACGTTTGTCCAATCATAATAGTAATAACAATTATTGTTATTAGTCACAAGCCTAATTTTTTTCTATTTCTTTTTTAAAATTTATCTTTATTGCTGCAAGTATTACAGATGTCCCCTTTTTTGCCCCTTTGACCGCCTCTCCTCTGCCCCTCCCCCCGGCCTTTACCCTACTATTGTCTGTGTCCATGGGTTCCACATATATGCATATAGGTTCTTTGATTAATCTTCCTCCCCTCCCCTGCCTAATTTTGACAGTGATTCACTATAAGGCTTTCTAGGTGCCACTATGTTATTAGTTTAAATAATCAGTATTTGAAAAAATTAGCTGAATAAGTTGTTTAATAGAAAACTGAGAAAATGGTTTACTTTTTGATAGTTTAGAATAGACAAGAAGAAAAGTACGCGTCTTATTACTGCTCCCATCAGTAACTGCATTTTGCCCACGCGCTTTAATTTCAATCCCTTTGCTGACCAGCAGTGTCTGCAGGGTGTGTGTGTGTGTGGGGGGGGGGTGCTGGAGAAGGAGCCCCACACTGCCTTCACCTTCCAGAAAGAACCCAAGCCCCCAGGGACAGCAGGACGCGGGGCCCAGCAGGACGAGGGGCTGGCCCTGTCAAGGTTGCCTGAAACCCGCATCCTGGGTGCCCCAGGAGGCACCCTGCCTTCTCAGAGCTGCCATTCCAGTGATTTGAGTTTCCTCAATACAGTAAGCATTTCCATGATTTACTCCTGGAGGAGTCACCATTCATTCAAGTGTGTCCTCAGACTGCCTTTAACCCAGAAGTGCTGTCACCAGGGTGTCTCCCCTC